GCGTGAATGAAAGAAGTAGTCTAAGATATACATGACTGAACACGAGTTACAAGAAGCGTGTTTATAACCTTACTGATCGGTTGATACTGAAAGCAAAAATAGACGAAAATAGACGACGGTTTCTCACCTCTGTCTTCGTTATTTGATGCGGTGCTTTCCTGACATATACCGATGTTATTTATTTCAAGTCAGGATGTATGTGACATATCAAAACATGCATTTTTGTTTTGGTATAAGAAATGAGTTTTAAGATCAGGGCAATGGGATTGTCCCCAGCTAGACTTGTAGGTATGTTGATATACAATCTTGTTTATGAGAGTTTAACTCCAGTCTGGAAATGGATATGTCCTGTGTGAAGTAAAAGAAAGCGATAGCTTTGAGTCGACACAAGGAGTTCTTCAGTAATCTATTAAAAGGAACTTGGAATTTCCCATTCCTTGTAATTAACAAGGTGTACATAAAATACTTATTTACAGGGAATAGAAATTAATAATCGGATAGTCACGACAGTAGAAATACTGCGGGTATTTGTCATTCTTGGCTTTGAAAGATTGAAGTTTCCTCCAAACGATGACAGATCAATTGATCCTGATATCGGTTTCGCTTTATCATCAAATTAAGTAAAGTTACATTTATGCCGGGAGATATTCTTGGCACTCAGAGAAAGATTAAAGTTTCTTCCAAACGATGACAGATCCATTAATGACGGTTTCGCTTTACAGCTGTATGTCTTGCCGGGCATATCCCGTATACAGGAACACGAAACTTCTGCTAAAGGAAATCAAACGTTCAGTTTACACGACAGTCGAGCTTGTTCCTGTTGTTCAGGCAACTGTGTTAATTAGAACCGATCATGGAACCAAACAAGAAAACTTCCTTCAAATGTGGCGACGTTCTCCACAAAGGTTCTTCGTTTCTGTCCTTCATTTCGTTGTTGTTGATTGTAGCGCTGTTTTTGAGAATGGAATCGATAAACAGGAAAACAGAGTTGAACGAAATGCGAATTTCCAAAGTGGAAAGTCGCGTCGAGACCGAATCACTGCAGACAACATACCACAAAAACGGAATGGAAACACCAGAAAGTAAGTAGAGTAGTTTGATTTTGAACTGTATTACACGAGTGAGTTATATTACAACAATCATGATTTTTTTGAAAGACACTGTAGCGACATGTCTATTACCTGTGGAAGGCAAACCTCCCAGTCGAAAAAGTCGATGTTTGTCTGAATGTATGATTTCAATCTGCCGCGTGTGTGTTAAAATCTATTGCTTATTCAGAAAGAGTTCTCTAAGTCGGTTCTTCCTCAACCGAAGAAAGAGGAAGACATACGTGATCGATCGATACAGGAAGTCCTCTTAGATCTTCATTGACCCGACAATTCTGAAACCAAACATCTCGTATCATACCAGTGATTGTTTTACTAAAATGAATAATTGTTTTGCATCCTCTTTTTCCTTATGTCATCGTCACGACCTATCTAAACAAAAATAACAACATCGTTTGCGATGTCTTTCAGTTAATTCGTGTCGTAATATACGTATAATATTTATGGACAGATGTTTTTATCTTGAACTGGGTATGAAATATTTGGAGAGTGTTCAAAAGTTTAAAGGTCTGGCAATGACATTTGGTAAGAGGACTGGGCTTGAGTATTTAGCAACCCTCTTTGGAGGGTTCAGGGTACTATATCGGAATTTTGATGCTATTAACTGCTGGATTTAACATTTGTATAGTTCATCTCTATGACATTTTGTCGATTAAAAGAAAAAGATTACAATGAAAACAAAAGCAAACAAAAAAAAAGCTCGTTAAGAATTTCAAGTGGGTAAAAACCAAACATTATGTTCACGCATAATGTTATTTATGTCGAGCCATGACGGTCACGCAATGGTCCGTAG